AGAAAAAAAGAAATATTCTGTCCAGCAATATGGAAGGGGAACAGCACATTGTACGAAATGCGAACCCAGAAATTATTAGGGTTCCATATAACCGTATGGTTCCTCGCAATTGTTAATTTACAAGTAATTGTAATGCACTTATTTGTTAGGGTTCTGTCCAGTCCATTTTCCAACCGAATGCCACACTAGCATGGCTTCGATCAGATTGATTCAGTGCTTAATGGAACAATACAAACAAATCTGAGCAACGTGTATGTGCTGGTATTGCATAGTGTACTGTGAAGATTCGAAAACATATCTGCCTGTTTAAAATTGTGACATTTGGTCACTATTTTGACTCACTCAATCTTCAGCCAATTAATTTCTCCCAGCAAACCGAGCAGAATGTCCCGATTTGGTTTAGATTCCGCATACGCGACTGAATTCAGTTCACATAACCGACGTTCAGTTGTGTAGTAAAGTTTCACACATTTACCCATACATGAGTGGTGTTCTCCAGACAAAAGGGGAAAGTTTAGAATCACCACTATTCGTTGAAAAATGCGATTACTCAGAGTTTTCGTAATGGATAATGTGTGCTGAATGTGTTGCTTCATTTTCCTTTAATATAAATTATTTTCTTGTTTTGTTCTAGGTGGAACTTCTATCAATAAATTTTAAATGACACATGTAATCCCTTAATTTATTCATTAATTAGGAGGTTAATTGATTCTGTGAGTTGGAGCAATCTGCGCAGTTACATGTATAATATGTAAAATGTCATTAAATGGGCACTTTATATGAATGACCATTTACTCGTGATTCCTTACNTCCTTACTTTTAATTCCCGGAGGCGATTGCTTTGATATGATGGCTTGATACTTCTCATCAAACTGAACAAACCGAATTGGACGAAAAGAAAACACCGCACAACCTTTAACAAATGTGTGGAGTGCAAACAACTTACCTGGATCATCTGGTGTATTTCAGCTAGGAAATATGGAACCGGTTATCCGTTCACACTCCGAGGCACTCGGTGTGTGTGTGTGTGTGTGTGTGTGTGTGTGTGTGTGTGTGTGTGTGTGTGTGTGTGTGTGTGNTGTGTGTGAATGTTCATATGTTGGGGGAGGGGAAATCAGCATGGCAAACAATCTCATTTAAAGTATATGTATATTCATATAATACTATTGTGGGGAGGGAAATCCTGCACAAACTACTACGGTCAGGTTCCATGCTTTGGTCGAATGAGGAATGCACACTGGTCACGAATTAGTCGATTTATTCAGGTCGTACGGATTCATCGAGGTTTGAGGAGTTTGAGGGTGGATGGAGGACCACGAATGATCGAGCGACTTGGTACATAGTTTTCGTGAACATCGTGGGGTTTGTGGGCACTAAGTCCCACAGCTTCACAGTGGCGCCTAAGAATGTGTCTTGCTGATCCCCCTCAAACTCCACACAAAGCGGACAAAAGCGTTCGTCACATCCACAAGGTGATTTATTTGCGATAGATTTGAAACCAGTGCATTGGTAAGCGCTCCAGTGTTCCGTCACGCGGGTCGGTACTCGTTGATTCTCCCGTACATGCTTCAGGCGATGCAGCTTAAATGCGTCTTAACACAGGAACGAATAAATGGTTGTGCGCATAAAGCGATCGTAGAATCAGATGTTCTGTTTTTGCTCCCATAAACACATAATTCAGTCTGGACGTGAACAACAGGTGGACTTTTGATGTATGAAATTTCTTATAGGCAGTATTTGATTATTTCTTTTGTATTACTCCTGCAGTTACATCATTATTTAAAGGTAAATAAATGCATGAGGGTGGTTTGAATATTCCTGCTGACCAAGTGTGCTGGGTAAAAGTCGCGCACGATGATTATCTTTAGGTCTTTTTACTTGCCTGTTAGTGCAATATAGTGTGATTTATTTGGCTCAATTATACATGAGGGAAAACGAACCTCCCCGAAGTGCTCAAATTCGCATTTAGAACACTATTTCTAGCTAATCATTTTATTCGGTATTGTATTACCATGCCGTTGAAATTTACGTTTGAGAATGTGGTTTAGAGAATCGGAGATTGACATTAGAATATGGGGAATAGATAAAGTTGAGTGTTGCACATCCTATGAACAGTTTCCTGCTTCCGTTAGTTCTGAAACTCAGTTCTGAGGAATTGGTTTTACTGTGTGAATATGTGTATAGAAAGGCAGGATGTAGGGGTGAGTTCTGGAGCACATGGCAGATGAAAAGCTTCAATAGCACGATTATGGTTAAAGTTCAGGGGCGAGTATACATTGCTTCGGTTATGGCACACGCGCGCATTCTAACATGCTTAGACCGCCCCATGGGCACTTGGTAAATGATTCTTAAGGCTTCACTTGGATTAAAATGAAGATCACTGTCAACCAAATAAGCGAGCATCGCGCTTGAGATGAAGGTTTAACACACACTTGCACAGATTGATCCATTCCATAAATATTGTTAATATCCCCCCCCCCTCCACAGACTCACCATATAAATTGATGGAGCCATTCACAAAATGCGATGACTTGTATCTTGGAGGGTAAGAGTATTGACTCTTAGCCCGAAGGTTTGCGGTTCGAATAGTGACAGGTGCGCTAAAAGTATGCAGAGCTGGCGGTTATCAAAAAGGACGAAATAGCTGCTGTCCAGTGCTCTTTGTCACCCACCACAAACATTTCCGTCGCATTTATATACTCCCAGCCTCTATCTTTTGCTTCACACCTAAATTGTAACAGCATAACAATGAATTAATAAAACTATTTATTTTTCTGAAATTGTGTTCTTTTCAAGAAGAACTTGTTCTCCAGCCTCGAGGAAATTAGCTTATCTTAGCCAAGACTAACGAAAAACACAAAAACAAAGTGTTGTTGACAACGTTTCAACCCTCCTAAAAGGCTTTTATCAAGTCGTCCAATCGGTTATGTTTCCTTGATAATCATGAGCACGAAGTCCAAGTTTTTCAGTGAGATCTGTTCCATCCATGTATCTCGTGTGATTGTTCTCCACCTTTTTATCTAATTCAGGTATGAAAAGATTGTAATTTTCGGTGTAACTTCGTATCTCAACTGTCAGGGGATGCGTGTAGTACACAATGTGGTTAGTATTCATACCAATCCCACGGACAGTGAACATCATTGCACAGAGGAACTAAACTAACCAATTTATTTGTTGCTTTCCAAAAGGTTTATCCCAAAAAGGTTCCATTTATTCCTGAACTTAATTGTTTTGTTTCTTTTACTAAGTTGAACGATCGTAGACACCGAAAAAGTGAAAGATATTGTACATTCAATGCTTTGTGGGAAGGCGTTCGAGAAACAGTCATCCATAATGAGCTTCGGATGTACTAAGTTGTTATGTTCAAATAACTAATAAATTTGGCATTCATATATATTGTCCTTTCTATTCCACACGCAACACAACTGCTGTTACGCTTTGAGAACATGGGTTGCCATGGGATTCCATGTAAGGCAGACCGCTAGTGGCGTTTGGTGAAATGAGGTGTGCCTGTGATTAAATCATGACCACTGATATAAGTGTATTGATCGGACTAAACTATGTGTGCTACCATTTCAATAAATTCTGAGTATCAAGCACACATGAAGATGGTATTTCATAATATTGAAGAGCATCTGCACAGATAATTTCTGGGAGGAGGTACTGAGTTTATATGCAAATCACAGCAATGAATTCTGAAGTGGATTATCGAAAAACGTTTCCGTTAGAGGTGAATAGAACGCAATACTTACAAATTTCAAGATATCCTTTTCTTAAACAGCAAGTGATCTGAGGAAACCATCTGGAAAACGCCAAATGAACGGGGGATAAATAGTTTCAATTGCAAAACGGGTATCATATTCAAAATCCTAACCTACGCTTTGGTTACATCAGTGATGGTTTCGTTTTAACCATTTGATGCGTCAATAGAGTACATCCGCGTATGGTTCCCTGTATCAGATATTTGATTTTATGCAATCCCGTTGCCACATAGGATCATTGCAAACAGTGTATGGTAATGTGTGAGCGGTATTCTCGGTTAACACTCGTGTTTTTTAAATGGCAGTCCACTGGGGTGGATGTCTGATCAATTGTACACTTTTAAGTCGTGGTTCACAAGCTCTGAGTGCTTACTGTACTCTACAGCCCAGGTAGTCAGGTACGGAATGTCTTCATCCTTTCAAGCCAGTGCTGAGATGAACGAGATGTGACACCAACAACAAACATCCAAACATGTGTCGTACCATATCGTGTACAGGCAAAATCATAAGCGGTCTGATCAGCTGTCGGGTGAGCCAGTGGAAGGTATGCTTGTGTTCTACCCATCAGGGACCGGGTTCGATCCTTGGTTGAATCGATGGATACGTACTGCCAATGTGATTTAATCAGGTGGAAACAGCTATCCAGGGCTTCCTAGCTCTTTAGATCACGCTTTTATCAGCTCTGTACATGATGGCATTGACCATATTTTTGCTTTTTGCATTGGTAAAACTTGTGTAAGCGTAGGTGCCTAAATTTCCGTTAAACATGTTTATATGTTCTTCAGTCAGCCTTATCATTGGAAAGAATAGACACCTGTCCCAGAAGCATACGACCGGTTTCGCGGTCCTTGCCGCTCGTCAGGTATGTGTATTCGGTAATCTTCTGTCTAGTCACTTTTATATTTCTGGGAAACTTTTTCCCACTCATTTATATAACACTCACCATAAACACAGTGAAAATCAGCCCCAGCGTCAAGGTTAGACGCATCTGACCCACAACACCTGATACAGAATCATTTCAATGATTCCTTGAGACTTGCTCGTCTCAAATCCACGCATATCTGACGAGCAGCAAGGATCGCAAAACCGGTCTGTGCTTCTGGGATATTTTGTCCAGTCAATCATTTACCACTCACAAACACCTATACTAGATTGGACATAAGTGCATGCAAAACGACCATCACTGCTTGAGAGCTAACCATTAAGTTAACTTCATCCATTTTACTGTTCGCTTCTTAGGTTGACGAGGTTCCTGGTGCCATGCATTACATCCTCTCCAACGGACAAATCGATTACTCCGTTCTGCTACGCGGACTTTATTGGTGCAGCACCGTTCACACGTCTCCAAGAGTATGTTGTCAGATACTAAAGTGTTTGTGTACACTGTTTGACCTCGGAATAGTAGACAATTCCGCAGCCCAATCCCGTACACCACAATTCATACCCCGTAAACCGATAAATTTGAAAAAGCTACGCAAGAAACTGAAGTCAGGCACTACCAGTGGTCACATAAAACGTATCCAATCAATACATTACCGTGCACCGGTTTCTGACAACCGTTCGCAAAGACCAGACCTGAGAAGGCCTACCCTGATTGCAATGACGGCAAATCGAGCGAATAAAGGATCTTTGAGGTTGGGTAGACGTACATCGGCTATCCTGTACGTGGGCTCCGATGAAAGCGAGGANAAAAGAAATCTTGCGGTAAGTCGGGTCGCAATGGATCAGTCAATGAGTGGTCGCAGCGGAGCACCCTCCCCGGAACACGGTCAACATCAGTACACGAGTGGATTGCACACCCAGTCCCGTAATAGCCCTCGTACACGAGGCTGGATAGGTGGACGTTACTCGCAGCACACCAGTCCCTGGTCAACCATGATACACATGGCTAGCTCCTCATGCAATTCGGCCTGGCGTCACCGTCCCCCGAGCCCATTACAGACCCCAACGCTCAGTAAACAAACAGTACGAAAAAATCACACTCTGGCCATCGATATGGTCATAAGGTAAATTATATTTTTTTCTGATGTGATTTATGCCTCACGTTACCTAATACACTGCACCTAGCCTATTGTAGGAATTCATTTTACTATTTTGTTCCGTCATTCACGTCACTTTCTTTATCACCGGAGGGGGAATCGTGTGAGGCCTGGTCTGCTAAACATGGAGTTTCGTGGATAGCTGGGACAGTTTTGTATACACTAATTTGCATAAGAAACCAAAATTCTTCAGCCACACTTGAAATTGTTGGACGTTTTAGCTTTTCTCTATCCGTACCGACAAGTTGTGTTTACCGAATTGGCCTGTTTTGTTCGCCTCAATCGATCACAGCAATTAGGATAATGTTTTGCTTCAAACTAGTGGAACTCATTATTTAAATATTGATACGGATACTTTAGGTGGCGAATGCCGGAAACATACCTTAAATATTGTGCGCCGTCTAGATTCCAACGCACAATGTCTGATATTAAGACACTAAATTAAATACAGCGTGTGAGAAAGTAATGTGATGTGCGGTCCACAACGCTAGTTCAAGACTAGGTCATAATGGATGATGAATGAAAGTGTCATTATACGCACAGATCTACTCCAAATTCGTTAGATATGTCACGGTCGGCAAATTATCTCCCGACCCGTTCCATATAAATAACTATCATAACTGGATCCCTACTATCTAAAGTCATCAAATATGAAGCGAGACCTGCAGGAGTAGGCTTACACATAAAACAGGACAGCATGATTAAATGGACAAGTGACAATTCCGCGACTGGGCGTAAACAGATCAGGGGGATCTGGTAAAACAATATCCTGTCTTTTCAGTCATACTGGAGGACTTGTGGAAATGTGAAGTCATGATGTTAATAAAAAATTCAGCATTAAAGTTACATTGGTCGAAATCCAAGAGAGGCGTGAATCGTTTTTGATGTCGAAAAGTTCGATATGATGTCGATTTGTCTTCTACCATTGTTCATAATTATTTGTATTAATGTATCACACTGTTTCATGATAAGAAAAATGTAAAACAGAAGCTATATACCTCTATGAATTTACATAAATCAGGATTCAAGCTGAACCTGTGAGTCTAAATTGATACTATCAGCTCTCAGAGAAACAACTGTGGAATGATGAGTGATAAAATCTTGCTAGTTGAAGGAGCAAATAAACAATTTGATCATTTAAACGTGCCTGAGTTGAAAGGGAGATAAAAGGGAATAGAGTGGCTTTGAACATTTAGATTTTTAACACAATATTTTACTAAGCAGTTTCATTGTCTTTTGTCTTCAGGGTGCCATTTCAAAGTCAAACCGATTAAGCATTTTTCCTTTCGCTGAGGATTACGTCGCAGTCTTCCTATCGTGATCTCTAACACGGCAGAATGATTTCTGGTCCCTTCGGGGATTACTTTCGTCTGTAATCGCATGCTGACACTATTCACTTTCCTTGATTCACAACAATGGTGTATCTAGTCATTACACTTTCATAGGAGTTTCAATCGCAAACGGACGGCACAGTTACAATAACTATTTTCGGTTGTGCTTCGTCGACGGAGAGAAACATAGTTTCGGCCAAGAACCGCTTTGGTCTATTTCTGTGGTTTCACTGTTGCCAAGGTTTAGCAATAAATTGTTTGATGCTCGTCACTTTGATATCTTGACCTGTGAACAGACACTGTGACCATGTGTGAGCACAAAACGATAATCTATCCGGGTGGAACATCTCACGAACCCAGTTCGAATAACTACAGACGAATTACACCAATTTCTTAAGCTAAAATATTTGGATCCCATAATGAATTTGAACAGGCAAGTCGGAAGACAAACACTGCGAGAGGAATTCCTTTTGTATACTCTCATCGGTCGTGTACGTATAACATCGAACAAGATAGACAAATGAAGCGAATTAAGAAATCTAGCTAGTATTAACCATGTGTGTGTTATACGTACGCGACCGATGAGAGTATACGAAAGGAATTCCTCTGGCAGTGCTTGTCTTCTGAGTTTCTGAGTTGCCTGTTCAAATTGCTTAAGCATTCGATTGTCCCGGTAGCGATGATACGCTTTTCTGGAGTGAACCGTTACTCGATCGATCGATCGATCGCTCGATCAATCGGTTGTTTTACTATAAACACTGTGGCTAGATAACAAACAATTGGGTCAATTGAGGTGAGTCCTAACCGGAGACAATGTCAGCTATTCGAAGTGGATTTTATCTGAAAATTTACTAGAAATGTCGAACGTGTGGTATGGCAGAAAAACAATCATCTGGCAAATAAATACGAATGAAATAGGCCTGATTATCCGGATTCGACGAAGAAATAAAAAAACGAGCAAACACCGGTATAGCCTAATTACGGAGACACAAATGAAGGAATAAAAGATTTTGTGAACACCTGGAAACAGGACAATTTACGCGGTTTTTTGAATGAAATGGTCAAACGGACAAAATTCGAAGGGAAATTATCGAACGGATATAACTAGACTGACCAAGCAGAGTAGTGATTGAGTTTGGTGATAGCGAGACAGATGGCGAAAATTCAAATCGTTTTTTGGTGGAAAACACTGCTCTATTTGTGTCGCCAGCACACAGATGAGCCTTGCATTGTATCCTTACTATCAGCGCTGTATAAGAGCTCAATACCCAGCACGAATGTTTGTGTGAATAGAAGGACTGACTCAGTTTATTCACTCATTTTAACACGGGACTGTGATCTACAGTAATCCACCAGGAAATCAAAAATTACCCTTCTTAAAGAGTACTGTTCGAACTCGTACAATAAAAGATTGGCGAATAAAAAGTATAACTGCTTAATGCTTCTCTATCTTATTTTATCGTTCATATGATACACGTGTTTTGCTTCCTCAGTACCCGAGCCGCCAATTAAACCTCATAGAGAATATAAAAGGACGGTGAGATCGCTTGTGTGTGTGTTCATGGTGTCTGAAAGACAGCGAAATAATTGTTGTTCCGGACAAGCAATGCTGAGGTTAGGCGCAGGGTTTTATGTGACCGCGGTTGCCCACTCAGGCAGGTGGTCGGCCTCTATAGACTACATTGGTTGCGGCACGGATTACGCATGCACTGCGCCACAGTGCGTGCTGTTTGTTGCTGCAGGTGGTGGGTGGAAAAATAAAGGGCGGTCAAAATAAAACTTGGCATGGGAATATGAAATCCCTGACCGGAGGAGTTGCTCACATAGATAGCGGTTGACTCCCTAGAGGGGCATATCGGGATGAGCGTGATAAATGGCTAGAGACACTGGGTGATTTGACTGAGTATTGTAAACGGTGGCGCTCTTGCATCTTCTCCATTTCTTCGCAGCCGTCATGAATTCGCCATTTTCGCTCTGAAACTCACTTAAACATTCCAGCGTTCACCTTTCTCCTTCATCCAAATGGGTAGTCATGAGATAATAACCCAAACCAAGGCAAAAACATACATGGTTAGTGGTTGTAGGAACCGCACTACTCTATTATCCACGTCTAATTTTTGTGCGGTGGAAACAGATTTTCAATCACGTTGAAAACGGAATAGCTACAAGACAGTTATGTAACGCTGACCCCGAACTTGTCTATGGTCTCGTAATGGGAGCAACGAACAAATGTTGGGAGTTACTTCTTCCGGCTAACAGCTAACACACTTCGTGTGACACATGATTTTGTTACGCGAAAATAATTGATCTATCAGAACAGCTTCATCTACAGACAATCCGAGTATATAAACTTGTAGAAAATAAGTAAATTGCATCAGATGAACGAACTCAGTATGTTCTATGTAGTCAAAGATTATTTATTTTTGGAATTGATGCTACCAATGAGGGATAATCAACTGGCTGAAGGACAGTAACTGCATAACCAGTTTGGATATCATTTTATCACTGTGCTCAAATGCGTGGTGTTTTATTGTGTATCTATCGTGCAGATGCAAGAAACGTTTTTCTCTACTCCGCAGTTTTGATGGGTTAACAAAACACATACACTTTCCACCCCTACGATGAACAGTCTCGAAGTCAAGGTTCACTTGTGTGGTTGATATTTCCGACATCAAACAGTTTACCGTCATTATTGAAGGCCAACGATGTAAAACTTCGAATACAAGTCCCAAACGTCATGGGTATTTTCCCTCATAACCCCCGCCTATGAGAACGTTATACACGGCAACATGCACAACTATGAGCTGCTTTCATTCAGTAGAGCGTCCAAAGTAATTTGAGTTCAGTTTTACAGTGCTTGTCATTGGATATGAAGAGAAATCAACAAACAGTTATGTTTATGCTAATCAATGGTCAAACGTAAATTCGGATACAAAATCTTTCTGCTTTCCATCCGCTTTGTTCTTATCACCGTAACATTTCTGGCGTTACTAAATAGCGGACAGTTGAGGGACAAAAGCAGGATCTGGATAAATGCTTATGTATGTCGAAACATGAATAGTTGCTGTCAACAAACGTCAGTTTCAGATTCTGTTTTTACAACCATTAACGATGCAATTTCGTGCGCCAGTTTTGGTTGCTGTCCTTTGGTGCCCCATTTGGATAAAAGAGCAGAATGAAAATTAGAACTTAGAAAGAAAATTCAAGCCATATCATAAAGTGTCTCTAACCATCGGTGACCCTCATTTCGAGGTCCCCAGCCAGGGAGCCTAACGGGGCCTATGAGACCTAGTCTCCTAGATAGGTTTCCATACACTCATACTAGGTCTTAGTTTGACCGCCCTTGATCTTTTTCCAACCGCTACCAGCCATGGCAGACATCGCTCACCGCGGCAACCTATTTGGTGACATGTCAACAAACATATGCAAGCAATAAAGTGTTCTCCAACCTCCCAAAACAAATTACTTTCTTCGAACGCGGCGGTCGAACATCCTAACCGCAAGTGACTGAGCGAAGTCGGTTTTATCGTTTGACTACTGGGGATCGAGGTAGAATTTCTGATTGAATATGTCAAACCGGGTAGATTATTTATCCACATCAAATCACAAAGGGCTTTGCGGACATCCGAACTCTTTTTCTTCCCCCTGATCGTTGAGCCTATTTTGTTTCCGGTTAGCAGATAACTCAGATGGAATGATGGTAAGTATTCGTAATGCATTGTTGTAGGACAAGGTTCATCCCCAGTAAGCCTTGTGTGACGGAACAATCAGTGACGAATAGGCCCCAACGTGTTTCTGTGCTCAACAGGGAGGCGCATTTGATTAAATCTAGTCCCACTTTGAAAGCCAAAGTTAGGCACGTGAAAAGAAACAGCATTCCGAAACTTTCATCTTAAACTCTACAAAACTGAGACTTAAATCGGAAGCCAAAACAATAACGAACCAGAGAGGTCCAACGAATTATTGGTCTACATACAGTTCATCTTGCCCGTTTTACGGGAAAAGTTTGACCCAACTAACCACCGTTTTCATAAAAATCTGCAAACTTCGGGTTGCTATTTTCAAACTGATTTCGAAGGTGTGCAATTTGTGATTTTTTTCCCGAATTTGATTTCCGTGTTTTTTGACTATCTGTGGGGAAAAGGATAACTCTCCGCTCATCAGAAGCCCACAAAACGTGACAATAGCCACCACCATCAGTCTACAGGATCACGTATCTTCAACTTTGTATGATAAACTAGTCCTTTAACTGTGAACTGACTAGCCAATAACCAAGATATATATATATATATATGCATGGACAAACATCTGTTTTCTAAACTTTGGTGCTATATGAGTAAATATTTGCCAAGTTTGTACCATGTCGGTATTGTGTCGTTCAAATGTACACGAGCCGAATAAAACATTTCTTTGTTTCTAATTCTCGCTAAAAAGGAGCCTTCACACTGACCGGCAGTGGAGATAGCTCGTGTGCACAAAAGCACGCACAAAATCCAATTTAAATTTGCCCAGTACTAACAGTCAGATTGCAACCCGAACAACAAGGGCGGATGCGCTACCTGAATCGGACGTAGCATACATAGCTCAGCCCGATTACAATATCACACCCCAATGCTACTCCGGAAAAGTGATACAATGCTCACGTACCTATTGGTGCGTGTGCACAGTTGTGCAAATAACTGATGCGATACTACCTCCAGCTTCACTTCACTCTAGCAAATACTGTTCTTTTCGAATGTGAATGCGTACGTAAGTGTGTGCGTGCGTGCATGTGTGCGTGCGTGCACGCGTGCGTGTGCATGCTCTGATGTGAGTGCGAGGGTTTGCGCTCGTGCGTAGCATTCATCCTTGATGAACACTCGCGATAATAGAACACATTGCGCCCGCTATACTGTACTGAAAAACGCATGTTCAAATTTTGCGATGCGCAGAAACCTCCAGGCTGAAAAAATGATCTGCGTTTCTCGTACTCAAGCTCGCCCAAACCATTTCATGCTCTAATTCACGTTGGTGAAATGACGTCATGTAATTGCTACATAATTAGATTAAAGCAACAATACTTTAGTAGTGGAAAATGAACAGCGGTCTGATCAGCTGCCCGGTGGCCGAGTGAGTAGCATGCTCGCGACCTGCCCGTGAGGTTTCGGGTTCGATCCCCAGTTTGGTCGATGGATTCGCACTGCTGATGAGACCCAGCCCGATCGAAATAGCTGTCCAGTGCCTCCTAGCTTTTCAGTTCACGTTTCATTTGCTATACGCACGACGAATTTTACCTTTGAAACTTTAGTGGTCATTTGAGGGTATGATCGATAAGTTCAATTACTTATTGTCCCTCCCCTATGCTCTTTTTATTTTTTGATTGACCATCTTTTAGGCTTCATCTTCATGCACAGACCTCACTTTCTTTTGTCAGTCACAAGTCCTCACGTGAAACATGAGATTCAATACGATTATTAGAGAGAAAACTGGATCATGTTCTTTGCTCATAAAACTTATACTGTCGCATTAATTGCCCCTCACCCTCCTCCCGCCCTGCCCATTCATATATCTTGACGAACTGTTTTAAAATGAAATAAAATGAAACCGAACTTATTTCTTCTACGTTTGATATGGATTAATGAATTAAATTGTCGGGTAATTCACAGTGACTCGATTGTAGTTTGCTTGATGGCGAATGAATTTCACGGTGACTGGTACTTGTAAATCGCCTGAAACGATCGGCTTATCAGAGTTTGAGGGTTAAAGATGCAAAATATTGGGTGAAATATGGAGCAGGATAATAAATCTACCGAACATCGAAATAGATCAGTAACATGGGGCAC